CGGGATATGGGCTTCCTAACCTCAAAATTACGGAAGCGCCTACGCGCCACGAGGCAAATTCCCTGCCAGATTTGGTTCTACCATATGTCCACTTTTAGAGTAGACAAATGGTAGACAAAAGGTAGACATACGGTAAAAGTGGAAATAAACTATTTAGAAGGTGTTTGATAGCAAAAGGAAGTATTGATAATGTAAAATGGATATTTAGAGATTCGATTTAATCAAAAATTGCAATAAATAAATCTCTAAATAATTAATAATTACTTGAAATTCCTGACAGATTCGATAAACATAAATGTACATAGGTGGTTAGACTTTAAATAGTGGAAAAAAGTTCATCAAAAAAACTAAAAATGTTAGAAAAAGCTCTTATAATTAATAAATTAACTATTCTACAGTCGATTTATCCATTATTTAAGTTGAATTAAATCGTAAATTGTTCAATTATTAATGATAAATATGCGAACTGTGAGACCTGTCAATGTATTGGTAACATGCGTGATACTTGTAGCAGACTACGATTCAATACGATCATATTCTGAACGGCGGAACGAAAGGAACTGATTTGGATAAACGCGCGAAGTTTCAAAATGATGTGTAAATATAGTAAACATTGAAAAAAATTGCTTTCTTTGATTTAAGAGATATTACTAATAAATCATATCTTTTACTTTTAAAAAACGTTTTTTTAAAACAATGTGATCAAAAATTAGAAATTTAGCAAAACTTTTTCAATTATTAAAAAAAATGAATTTATTTAAATAAATATTATTCAAAGCTAAAAATCAGTATTTTACTTAGAAAAATAAATTTAAATAAAATTTTTTTAAACAATTTCATGTAAAAAATAAATAACATGAACAATTAATTTTGATTGAAAATTATTATTATTATATTTAGTAGAATATAAAAAATAACTCCTCCTACTTTAAGAAAGCAATTTTTTTATTCGTTGGTTCAACAGTACAAAAAGGGAGTGAATATTTAATTTTTAAAAAGTTACATTTAGTCTTAACTCATTAAGAAAAAAAGGCTTCTGGCCAATAAAAATAAGCACCTCCTATTTTCAAAGTGCAATTTTTTATTTGCTGGTTGAGTTAAAGAAAATGGAGAAAGTAATTAATATTTGAAAAATAACATATATTACCAACCCCCAAAGAAAAAATGGATGATTTAGACCAATAAAAATAATAAACAAACTCCTCCCATTTTCAAAATCAATTTTTCTATTTGTTGGTTGAGCTAAACAAAATGGAGAAAAAATTAAATATTTAAATTTAAAACATACTATTCCAACCATCAAAAGAAAAAAATGGATGTTCTAGACCAATTAAAATAAAATTTAAACTCCTCCTTCTTAAAGAAACCTTTTTTCTATTTGCTGGTTCAATAGAACAAAATGAAGAGAATATTAAACTTTAAAAAATTTAAAATTTAGTCCCAACCCTCGTAAGATAAAATGGATGTTTAAGACCAATTTAATTAAAATTTAAACTCCTCCCTTTTAATAAAAACTATTTTTCATTCGTGGGTTTAAAAGAACGAAATGGATAAAATATTAAAATTTAAAAAATATAAGTCTCAACCCCTCAAGAAAAAAAACTGCTATTAGCCAATAAAAAAATCAAACTCCTCCTAAATTTTTATTTCGTTCTTTTGAACCCACGAATAAAAAATAGTTTTTATTAAAAGGGAGGAGTTTAAATTTTAATTTAATTGGTCTTAAACATCCATTTTATCTTTTGGGGGTTGGGACTAAATTATATATTTTTTAACGTTTAATGTTTTCTCTATTTTGTTCTATTGAAGCAACAAATAGAAAAAAGGTTTCTTTAAGAAGGAGGAGTTTAAATTTTATTTTAATTGGTCTAGAACATCCATTTTTTCTTTTGGGGGTTGGAATAGTATGTTTTAAATTTAAATATTTAATTTTTTCTCCATTTTGTTTAGCTCAACCAACAAATAGAAAAATTGATTTTGAAAATGGGAGGAGTTTGTTTATTATTTTTATTGGTCTAAATCATCCATTTTTTCTTTGGGGGTTGGTAATATATGTTATTTTTCAAATATTAATTACTTTCTCCATTTTCTTTAACTCAACCAGCAAATAAAAAATTGCACTTTGAAAATAGGAGGTGCTTATTTTTATTGGCCAGAAGCCTTTTTTTCTTAATGAGTTAAGACTAAATGTAACTTTTTAAAAATTAAATATTCACTCCCTTTTTGTACTGTTGAACCAACGAATAAAAAAATTGCTTTCTTAAAGTAGGAGGAGTTATTTTTTATATTCTACTAAATATAATAATAATAATTAATTTTCAATCAAAATTAATTGTTCATGTTATTTATTTTTTACATGAAATTGTTTAAAAAAATTTTATTCAAATTTATTTTTCTAAGTAAAATACTGATTTTTAGCTTTGAATAATATTTATTTAAATAAATTCATTTTTTTTAATAATTGAAAAAGTTTTGTTAAATTTCTAATTTTTGATCACATTGTTTTAAAAAAACGTTTTTTAAAAGTAAAAGATATGATTTATTAGTAATATCTCTTAAATCAAAGAAAGCAATTTTTTTCAATGTTTACTATATTTACACATCATTTTGAAACTTCGCGCGTTTATCCAAATCAGTTCCTTTCGTTCCGCCGTTCAGAATATGATCGTAGTGAATCGTAGTCTGCTACAAGTATCACGCATGTTACCAATACATTGACAGGTCTCACAGTTCGCATATTTATCATTAATAATTGAACAATTTACGATTTAATTCAACTTAAATAATGGATAAATCGACTGTAGAATAGTTAATTTATTAATTATAAGAGCTTTTTCTAACATTTTTAGTTTTTTTGATGAACTTTTTTCCACTATTTAAAGTCTAACCACCTATGTACATTTATGTTTATCGAATCTGTCAGGAATTTCAAGTAATTATTAATTATTTAGAGATTTATTTATTGCAATTTTTGATTAAATCGAATCTCTAAATATCCATTTTACATTATCAATACTTCCTTTTGCTATCAAACACCTTCTAAATAGTTTATTTCCACTTTTACCGTATGTCTACCTTTTGTCTACCATTTGTCTACTCTAAAAGTGGACATATGGTAGAACCAAATCTGGCAGGGAAGAGAGGAAAAAAAATATAAAAAAAAATTTTAAAAAAAATCATATATTTTGAGGTTATAAAATGTGTTATGGAAAAGTAATGGAAAAAGGTCAACATTAGGCCTTAAATGTGATAACATTTTATAACCTCAAAATATATGATTTTTTTTAAAGCACCTAATTTACCTCGCGTGATTAATATCTGTTATAAATAATACCTAAAAAATATTTTATTACATTAAAATTGTCAATTTAAATTAATTTGGTTCATTTTTAGGGTTCCGTACACCTACGGTGTATCGGCGGAACCCTATTGGTGAGACTCTGTTGTCCGTAGCCAAATCGTGTCCCCCCCCCCTAGCGGCTAAACTATTTGACCTAAAGAGCTCAAATTTGGTACAGATATGTATTTTCACACGTAGATTACAGGAAAAATATAGCGAATGTGATTGGACGTGATGGGCATAGCGTTGTCAAGGAAATAACAAGATTTTTGGCCAAAAATGCATAAAAAGTGACCATTCCCCCCCCCCCCCCCTTAACTTCTAAACTATTCGACATGGAGAGCTGAAATTTTGCATGCTGGTGTATTTTTACTCGAATATTACAGGAAAAATATAGAGAACTTGATATGTAATGATGGCCATAGCGTTGTCAAGGAAAAACTAAAAAATTTTTAAAAAAAAATTTTTTTTTCCTAACTTTTACATTATTTGACCTAATGAGCTGAAAATTGGTATCCTAGTGTATTATTACAGTCTGACGACAAAAAATTTATTTAAGAAACTTTTTGAAAAAAAATCAAAAAAAATTTTTGTTTAATTTTTTTTAGTTTAAACACGTGGCATTAAATATTTTAAGGAAGAGAGTGAAATTTTAAGAGAATGAATGAGAGATTGTTTTCTGACTTTAATTTCTTAACTAAAAATAAAAAAAAATTGGACAAGTGCGAGTTGTACTCGCACTGCAATGGCGGGTTCCGCACACAAATATTAAAACAATACTTGCAACATTGATCGGTAATTAGTGGAATTAAAATAAACAATTATAAAAATATATTAAAATCATTTGATAAAAAAAATAACTAAAAAAAATTAAAGTATTGTATATATCTAATATTGTAAACAATAATAAGCAGAGGAACAAAATTTTCAAAATTTATTATAGTTCCTCTGCTTATTATTGTTTACAATATTAGATATACAATACTTTAATTTTTTTTAGTTATTTTTTTTTATCAAATGATTTTAATATATTTTTATAATTGTTTATTTTAATTCTACCAATTACCGATCAATGTTGCAAGTATTGTTTTAATATTTGTGTGCGGAACCCGCTATTGCAGTGCGAGTACAACTCGCACTTGTCCAATTTTTTTATTTCTTATTTTAAATTTTTTATTTAGCAACAATCACATCATCGAACCACCGAACCAGCGAACCATCGAACGTGTTCCTATGTTCCACAAGCTAAAACGACATTAGCAGAAACAGGTTTCCTCTCTTTGCCTCGTGGCGCGTATAGGCGCTTCCGTACAAAATATATGTAAATCTTACATATCCCGAAACCGTCTCCCGAAACCGAACCAGTTGTGCTTAGGCCTTGAAGTCGGTTCTACAATGAGCACGGTCGTTCGTGTTCGCTGTCGTGAACGTGTACGCGTTCCATTTAGTTTAGCATGGAGCACGTACACGTTCACGATAGCGAACACGAACAACCGTGCTCATTGTAGAACCGACTTTAAACGGAACCGCAATCGTAAGCGTAACCGTAAGAATGAGTTAAAGAAGAATAGGTATATTGTTTATCCTTCTCTAACTCATTCTTACGCTTGCGGTTACGATTGTCTGATTTCATTATACTATAGATTATATTATTACTTACTCGGGTTGAGTTGGAGAATAAAATGGATATTGAAACAGGCTGGCTGGCAAAACTGCGAATGAATAAATAATTTAATTATTATCCCTACTTCCTTTCGTAGAGGAATTTTTCTTTCAAATTTTAATTCATTTTTGAAATTCTTGAATCTAAAAGTTTATTACATAATTCATGGTACAATGTGTTGTAAGCAGCATTTACGATAGTTGGAAACCACCTAAAATATAAAAAAAATTATTCTCCTACAAACAATTTATTATACACTGAAAAAAATATATTTATGGTACTGCCATAAATATGTCCAATTCTCACTTATTATATTATGGAACAGTCATACAGTATTGCTGTTTCAGCCATACGCAGTGTAGAACAGCCATATGTATATGAGAGACAGTAATATGTAGGGTAACCCTGACGGAATGTGTTGAGTGAGATTTGAGCGAATTCTATCAAAATTCTCTCAGGTTTGATCAAAAGGTTACATTAGAGCTAATAAGTGATATTGGGTAAAAAAATCTATTGAAATTAGTAAATTAAGATTTAGGGAATTGATTTGTGTAATAATTAAGTGTAACAAAGTTGTTACTTAATAATAAACAGTATTTGAAGCGAACGATGTGCGGTGGTTTCCTGTCAGTTTGGAACTGCTTGAATTTTCTCTATTTTAACGATAAAAATTCCCAAAATATAAAAAAACTGTTTTTCTTATAATAGAGTAATAGTTAAATTATAAGAAATCCTTAAAATAATGTCTATTCCAGCAGAACGTATATATTTTTGGCAGAAGTATAGACATATAAATATGCAGGCTGAGAGACTTGTCAATGTAACATATGCGTGATACTTGTAGCGATTATTAAAATAAATGAATTCATTCAAATAAATATTATTCAAAGCTAAAAAACAGTATTTTACTTAAAAAAATAAATCTGAATAAAAATCTTTTAAACAATTTCATGTAAAAAATACATAACCTGCACAATTAATTTTGATTGAAAATCAATTATTATTATTGTATTTAGTAGAATTATAAAAAATAAAAATGCAGAAAATAAGTAGAATTAATGCTACAATCAATTATACTAAAAAAGATAAAATAGACAATTTTTTCCCATCTTTCTAAAATAATTAGAAAATTTACTTTTCAGACCAACTACAATGAGATTCTAACTCCACCTACTTTAAGAAAGCAATTTTTTTATTCGTTGGTTCAACAGTACAAAAAGGGAGTGAATATTTAATTTTTAAAAAGTTACATTTAGTCTTAACTCATTAAGAAAAAAAAGACTTCTGGCCAAAAAATATAAGCTCCTCCTATTTTCAAAGAGCAACTTTTTATTTGTTGGTTGAGTTAAAGAAAATGGAGAAAGCAATTAATATTTAAAAAATAACACATATATAATCCCAACCCCCTAAAAAAAAATGGATGATTTAGACCAATAAAAATAATAAACAAACTCCTCCCATTTTCCAAATCAATTTTTCTATTTGTTGGTTGAGTTAAACAAAATGGAGAAAAAATAAATCATATAATTCCAACCCTTAAAAGGAAAAATGGATGATTTAGACCCATTAAAATAAAATTTAAACTCCTCCTTCTTAAAGAAACCTATTTTTCTATTTGTTGGTTGAGTTAAACAAACTGGAGATAATATTAAACTTTAAAAAATATAAAATTTAGTCTCAACCCCTCACGAAAAAACAGACTTCTATTAGCCAATAAAAAAATCAAACTCCTATATTTTTATTCATTAGTGAGACTAAATTTTATATTTTTTAAAGTTTAATATTTTCTCCAGTTTGTTTAACTCAACCAACAAATAGAAAAATTGATTTTGAAAATGGGAGGAGTTTGTTTATTATTTTTATTGGTCTAAATCATCCATTTTTTCTTAGGGGGTTGGGATTATATATGTGTTATTTTTTAAATATTAATTGCTTTCTCCATTTTCTTTAACTCAACCAACAAATAAAAAGTTGCTCTTTGAAAATAGGAGGAGCTTATATTTTTTGGCCAGAAGTCTTTTTTTTCTTAATGAGTTAAGACTAAATGTAACTTTTTAAAAATTAAATATTCACTCCCTTTTTGTACTGTTGAACCAACGAATAAAAAAATTGCTTTCTTAAAGTAGGTGGAGTTAGAATCTCATTGTAGTTGGTCTGAAAAGTAAATTTTCTAATTATTTTAGAAAGATGGGAAAAAATTGTCTATTTTATCTTTTTTAGTATAATTGATTGTAGCATTAATTCTACTTATTTTCTGCATTTTTATTTTTTATAATTCTACTAAATACAATAATAATAATTGATTTTCAATCAAAATTAATTGTGCAGGTTATGTATTTTTTACATGAAATTGTTTAAAAGATTTTTATTCAGATTTATTTTTTTAAGTAAAATACTGTTTTTTAGCTTTGAATAATATTTATTTGAATGAATTCATTTATTTTAATAATCGCTACAAGTATCACGCATATGTTATATTGACAAGTCTCTCAGCCTGCATATTTATATGTCTATACTTCTGCCAAAAATATATACGTTCTGCTGGAATAGACATTATTTTAAGGATTTCTTATAATTTAACTATTACTCTATTATAAGAAAAACAGTTTTTTTTTATATTTTGGGAATTCTTATCGTTAAAATAGAGAAAATTCAAGCAGTTCCAAACTGACAGGAAACCACCGCACATCGTTCGCTTCAAATACTGTTTATTATTAAATAACAACTTTGTTACACTTAATTATTACACAAATCAATTCCCTAAATCTTAATTTACTAATTTCAATAGATTTTTTTACCCAATATCACTTATTAGCTCTAATGTAACCTTTTGATCAAACCTGAGAGAATTTTGATAGAATTCGCTTAAATCTCACTCAACACATTCTGTCAGGGAAAGTGCGGATAGATGCCCCCCAATTTGAAGATTACATCTAAATTGAACAATTATTATTTTTAATTGACTGTTCGATTTTTACACACTATTACTATTTATCATTGACATATGTATATGGACTAAATACCTACAATAAATAATAAATTAATCAGAATAAAAATAGAAAAGGTCTGCGTTTTGCCATATATCCCACCTGGGTAAAAAAATTCGATACACGGACCGCGGAGTTCGTATACGAGCTCGGTAGCTCGTATGAGAAATATGAGAAAACTCTCATACGAGCCTTTTCCGTAATGAGAAGTGTATAGATGCTTGTATACGAGGTGACTTTTAAAGCATTTTTACTAATGTAACTCTATTTTAAAGTAAATGTAGATAATAGAAATGAATTTTCTCTTTTAAAACAAAGCTAAATTCATAAGGGAAATGAAGTTTTAAGAAAAAAAGGATAATTTTGTTCAAAAAATTTATTCACACTGAAAAAAGGTTAGAATTTGATAATTCCTTGTTTCTCTTACTTACCGACATTAGATATTTCTCGGATGCGGTAAGCACGATTTTGGATTAAATTTAATTATTTTATATAAGAACATTTATATAATAAATAAATAATAATATATTATTAATTAGTAATGAAGAAAAACTTATTTATTCTACCGCTAATACAAAATCGTGCTTACTGCATCCGAGAAATATCTAATGTCGGTAAGTAAGAGTAGCAAGGAATTATCAAATTCTAACCTTTTTTCAGTGTGAATAAATTTTTTGAACAAAATTATCCTTTTTTTCTTAAAACTTCATTTCCCTTATGAATTTAGCTTTGTTTTAAAAGAGAAAATTCATTTCTATTATCTACACTTACTTTAAAATAGTGTTACATTAATAAAAATGCTTTAAAAGTCACCTCGTATACAAGCATCAATACACTTCTCATTACGGAAAAGGCTCGTATGAGAGATTTCTCATATTTCTCAGGAAATATTTCTGCAAACAGGAAAATGTCCGCTTATGTGGGAATATTGACGCGAAAGTTGAGAAAATATTTCATTGAAATATTTTGGAAATATTCAACTGAAATGATGCGCACTGGTCGAACTCAGTTTCTATGGCCTGTAGAGTTGCGCAGTAGTTTTTGGCTTACTATGAAGGAGTTTACACCGTAAGCCTTAAATATAAGCCTTCGCGAGCATAAACGGATATGCCTCCATGAGGATATACTTGCGTCTGCGCAAAGTGTTTGCCTGCAGCTGTGTTGTGAAAGAGTTTGCCTTGACCACGTGTTCGCGCAGGCGCAAATATATGCTCCTGGAGGTATATCCGTTTATGCGCGCGGAGGCTTATATTTAAGGCTTACGGTGTAAACTCCTCCCTGCTGGAAGTAAATAGATAGAAACCTTTTCTCTTTTAATCCCTTTCTATTGCAAATATAGAAAGAGATATGAATATTGTATAACTTTTAATCTCTTACCTATACTTCTTTATGCCTTTCTATTTCTACCTTTATCAACTTGCTCGCTATTTCTTTTAATCACGTTTTTTGAATAACTTTTAATAGCCTTTTTAAACCCTTCTATCTCTTTTTATATACAATCTTATCACAACTTTTTGTTATCCCTTTCAATCACCTTTTCTCTATTACTTTTAAAATCCTGTCTATTTCCTTGTATCTCTTTCAATGTTAGACTTTATAGACACTATTCTTTATACCTATTAATAACCTATTCTCAATACCTTTTAATAACCTGTCTTTAAACTTTTATCTCTTTCTATGACAGAAGTTCTTGATAATCTTCTTTGTCCACATTTATAACCTTTTCTTAATAACTATTAATATCCTATTTATAAGCTTCCATCGCTTTTTATGTAGGATCTTATTGACACTTATTTATTCCCATTATAATAAGATAGAAAAAGATAGAAATGCGAGACTGCAAAACTATAAACTTTTTCTATTCCTTTTTATCATTCTTCTTTTCCGAATGGTATTCTTTTTATCTTCTTTCAATCCCATATTCTATCTTCTTACTTCATTTAGAAGAGATAGGGATAGACAAGAATATGGGGATTTGAGGAGATATAATAAGTTTATCTCTTCTAATCTACTATAGTATATCTCTTTCTATATACATACTAATCAACTTATACGCGCATGCGTCGATCTTCCCAGCTGTTATGTGTCATGGCGTCGGGTCAGTAGATCCGAGGATCAGATAGCGTGTGTTATGCACTGTGCGATTTTACGTTTTTGTTTGAGTTTAACTTTCATATTTTTGTAGTTTATTGTAAATATATTTAACCAATAAATGCTTATCAGTAATATAGACAACCAAAATTAGTTTTAAACTCACACAGCACCCAAACTTTTCTAAAAATATATTACAGATTTACTTGCAAAATTTTTATAGTTAATCGTAATGAATTAGAGAACAACACGGTTAAGAAACTCAATTAACAACAGTAGAGAAAGTTTTTAATTGAAATTAATCAATCTCTTCTATAAGGGATATCTCTTTTTTACTTTCCTTTGGATTAAAAAGGATGTGAAAATAGATAGAGAAAGATAGAAATGTATGAATAGAAAAGTTCTATCTTCTTTAATTCACCACTTTGCATCCCCAATTTTTTATCTCTTTCTATATATTTTTTTGTATATATTTCTATATCTGAAACTGTATATAAAGAGATTAGAAGGGATAAAAAGAGATATAAATATAAGGTTATAGAAAGAGATAAACAATTTGTATCTCTTTTAAGTATCCATTTTGCATCTCCAAACTATTATACCTTTTAATCTTTTTTTATCCCTTTTTTTTAATCTCTTTGTATCTCTTTACTTCCAGCAGGGCTTCTATATCCTATGGGTTTTAAAATATTTCAGAAAATTCCTATTGATTTGAGGTGTTTAACAAATTTTTCCATTTTTTGAAATATTTTCACAATATTGCAGAATCTTTATGTGTAATATTGCAGGAATATTTCAATGAAATATTTTCTCAATTTTCGCGTCAATATTCCTACATAAGCGGACATTTTCCTGTTTGCAGAAATATTTCCTGAATCTTGCAATGAAATATTTCAATCTTTCAGTGAAATATTCAGGAAGTATTCAGGAAATATCATGTGCTGTGTGGGACGTTTCTTTCATATTGGAGATCTGAGAAAGGGGGCATCTATCCGCACTTTACCCAATGTGAAGGACACCAATACTGTATTTGAAGAACAAAAATACAGTATTGCTGATTCAGCTATACATCCTAACCATACGAGTCCTTTCTTAAAAAAGACATGGAGTGGAAAGGTCGAATGTATCGAAAAGTATCGAAGTAAAGAATGGGCAATGAGAATGTAAAATCTTAATAGAAGGGTGTTTTTAAAATTGTTTGTACATGTGAAGGTGGCGCTGCAGTCGTATGTTATTTAAAAAGAGCGCGAATACACTCTTAGTTTGAATCAGTCAAAATGTGATTGATTCAATCAGTCACGCACATTTTCACTGACAAATCATTGATTTTCATTGGCACAATAATCATTTTGACTGGTAAATCTGTCAAATATTGTCACTGATTCAATCAGTCACTGAATTTAACTGTAAACCAGTCATTTCATTTAACTGATTTGTCTGTTGATTATTTTAACTGACTTAGATCAGTCATTTTAACAAATACACCTGTTTTTTTTAAATATGCAAATAAATTATATTTATCTGCAATATAGACAAAATAACATTATTTCTTAATATAAATATATTTGTTGACAATTTTTACATTAAATGATATATTATTATGATTTTTTAACAAATATATTGTTTATTAAAAATCAAAAACTTTCTTTTTTTAAACAAAAAAATACAAGCAACTATTTTTCTTTTACTAATAAAATGCATTGCTGTAAATAGTTATGTTTTGTAAAATATTTGTAGTTTATATTATATACTATTCGAAAATAAAATATTTGAAAGAATTCCTTCGTTTCAAAAGGTTTGCCACATCTGGTTTGTCTTAGGATGTCGAACTATAGGTTTCTCGTTACAATAGGTCCGTGTTTTATGACTTTTTCGGGACCCTTTTTTTCTTATGAATTTATTTAGGTAGAAAGTTTGTGAAATTTTTTTGTACTTAAATATAAGATGGAAGTATACGAAAATTTCATACATTTTCTTTAAAAAGTCTTTCAAGATGCTTTGAAGCGTCAGTTGCTCTTCAGCTTTGGCATGAGGAAAACTGACGCCGCGAGTAAGAAAAATATTTTAAGTTTTAGTAATTGACTAATGACTGATATTTCTTCTTTTCATCCTGATTATTCAAAGTTGTTCAATATATAGTGATAGTAATATTCTGAAGTGATTGTGAAGTGATTCAATAGTATTTAATTCCAACTGATTGGAGTTAAATATTTTAGAACGGTACTTAAGAATTGTATAGACAAAATTAATTTATAATTTTGCAAAATTGAGTGGTAGTGCTTTCAAATAATTTAGTTGTCTTTACTTATTTATGATTGTTATATAACAATTTTTGTGCATTAAACAAATTTCAGTTACTTATCTAATTTTTGTTCAATAAACAATGTTTTAAAAATTTGTTTAAGAGTTTTGAAACCTTGCACACCTTATATTAAAATTATTAAATATTTTAATAAATTAGTCATTGAATTAATGTAATATTATTAAAAATAATCAATTTGAACAATGAAATTTGCTATTATATCAATAATAATCATTAATAACTTCAATTAGAATAATTATTTTAAACAATAAAAATTTATATTTATTTAATTTATATTTTATTTTATTTAATAAATATTGTAACAATAATAATTTTTGTTACCTATGCTTTTATTATTAATAAAAAAATTTTTTAAGTGCAGTGGAAACCATTGATCGATTAATTAATCCAATTTACAAATCAGTAAAACTTCATAAATTTATTGATAAAATTTATTCTTAAATTTGATAAAAATAACGGATTTTGAAAATAAAAATGATTACTTTCATGAAAATAAATTATTGTTAAGTATAATTAAAATAATTGATTTAAACAATAAAGTTTATTATTTTATCAATAAAAATCATTATTTTCTTTAGTGACAATAACTAATTTTAAAAAGTGAATATAATTGATATTTTGATGAAAATGAATTATGTAAATAATGATAATAACTTGTTAAATTAATTAAATTTACAATTTCTATCATTCATAACAACTGCTTTTTTCATTAGCATTGACTGATGCTATCAGTCAAATTAAACTATACAAACAGTATATTTTATTAATTTCATCAATAAAAATCATTATTTGAGACAGTCAAAATTACTGATTTAAATGACAAAAATTATTGAAATTTCAATAAAAGTTAATGATTTAAATAATACAAACAATTGAATGAAATAATAGATTCAACAATTTCTATCATTCAAAACAACTGATTTCTTCTGTGTATTTGACTGATTCAATCAATAACAGTATATGATTGGTTTGAATCAGTCAAACGGACTGGTCCGCCAGTGAGCGGGTCTGGACTGATTGAATCAGTCATTTTTGACTGAGAATCAGTCAAATTTGACTGATTCAATCTAAGAGTGTATATAAATTTTATTTTTGTTAAGAGAAAGTACTCATTATAAATCTTATTTTGCATTGTCAAAAAAAACGTCAACATTTCAAATATAAATAAGCAAATTATTAACTGAAAAAATTTGAATATTATTATTAATGAAATAATGGACTTGGACAATGGACATATAAAAACTAGCACCGTAGACGGCCGCTTGCGGCCGTCGGAGGAGCTAGTATGACAAAATCGACAATATCATTTTTTTCAGTGTACATTTTTTTAATGATATATATAAATAAAACTTACTCTAAATCAATTTCATAATTTCCTAACTTTCGTAATTTTTTCTTCAATAAATATATTTTGTACACTAATATATTATCCAGATACTGGTGTCCAATTGGCATCTATGGAAATTAAATTTCTATTACAGTAGAGACGACCCTATTATCCGGACTAATGGGTCTCTACTGTAATTAATATTTTAACTAGCCAAATTATCCGAGCGCAAGCGCGCGAGAATGTTGTATTGCACTGATTATTGCAAACAATTTCAAATCATTTTAATTTAAGTAATTTTTAAAGAAATAATTATTATGACACATAATTGAAAAACTAATTAGAATTAAATTTTCAATTTATATTATTTTTAAACTTTAACGTATATAAAAAAAACTTTAACAAATTTTGATACTAATTTCCAATTTGATATCAGATTTTCTAAATTGAAAATAATTAAATTTTCTTGTACAAGAGAAATTGAATTTTGCAAAAATTGTTGTTTTATACTTTCATTTTCAAATTAAACATAATCTTCATTACGAAAATTTTAATTATTCTGAAGAATAGAGGAGGTAAAAAAATTATTATAATATTTAACTTTTTTAACAAAGAATTTCTTCCTCCTTTAATATAATATGAATAATAATTTTTTAAAGAATTTTCACTACTTTAAAGTCGCTAATACTACACAGTAAAAAGTAAATCTTAATTTAAGAGCTGCCTTAAATTCAACACTGTCTGCTATAATGTTAAAGAATACGAAAAACGTGCGTAAATTCAACATTGACTGTCTTAAAAATGTTGCATCTTAATTTAAGGTAGCTTTCGTGCCTTAAAATAAGATTTTCTTTTTACTGTGTAGAAATCAAAAAACTATTCTCAAAAATTATAATCAAATTCTTTAAAAAAATTCAATTATTTTCAAAAAATATTCGAAATTCAATTATTTTCAATATCTAGTATTTTCATGAAATCTCGCAAAATAATTGAATTAATTTAAAATAGCATTTTCAAAACCATTTCGAAAAAATCAATTATTTAACAAAATTTTATACAATTTATTTTTTACAATAATTCAATTACTTTCACTAATAATAACATTTTTCATGAAAAATCAATTTTTTAAAAAAAATTTTGATAAAATAATTCTAAGCTTGAATTTAATTATTTTCATAAATAATAAAACTCATCGAAGAATTTCAACTATTTTTATACTGTCGACAGTATGAAGTATGAGTGAGTATTGTAAAGAGTGGGGACGAGTTCACAGTCCTTTAAAACTAAAGCATAAACAGGTGTGTTCAAAAATAACAAAATTTTTCACAGAAATTCAGTTCTTTTTAAACATTTTAGTAAACTTCTCCGCAATAATTTAATTAATTTTAATTTTTAAATTTTGTTTCCAAGCCTAAAGTTAAAGGTTACAGAGAATTGCCCAAATATTAATTTAAAAAAAAATAAAAAATACGTATCTAATTTTTTTCAATTTGTGACAAAATATGATCCGGAAATGGACAAACTTCCAAAATGTCATTTTTAACGGCCACCCTAATATATATATATATATATATATATATATATATATATATATATATATATATATATATATATATATATATATATATATATATATATATTAGTAATTAGTTTATGTTAATTTAGTTTAACGGTTATTGTACTTATATTTTGCTATCAAATAATTATTTGATTTCGAAATTGAACAATAATTTAAGAATACATACCCCACGATAATAATTTGTAAAAGCTACATCATTATTGTACCAATTAGGGTAACCAAAAATGGTACCTATATTCTTAATTTTTTCAAGTTCAATTTTTTTCGCATTTTCGCTAAGCCAGTCTGACTTTAAAATTTGCTTTATCATCGCTTTCTGAATTGTTCGAAGCATTTCCACTCCCTGAAAATTAACAAATTTTAACTTTTTTAAAAAGTATTTAACTTTATTAAAATTACATCAACCCAGTGGGAAATTTCCAACCGGCGCGGATCCTCGCCTGTACCGACGCCGGAGTAGTGGTACTGGCTGGGAACCGCCTGCCTACCGCCCGAGAACTGGTATTCTACCAAAAGATGACTTGGCCAGGAGCTGGCTGGCCATCCGTCTCGGAACTGGCATTCTACCGCCCGGTAACCGGCCGCGAAGAGCCGTTCCGTGTATAATTCAACCGGCTGGGACCCGGCACTGTACCGACTGCGGATCTTTCATTTCCTAGCCAGATATGCGCTGGCAATGCTGGCATTCTACCGCCTGACAACCGGCTCGGATCAAAATAATAATTTCAACAAATATCAATAAAAAAATAATAATTAATTGCAAAAGATAAATACTGATAACAATTCATTGATAGTTCACTTTACACATTTCTTTATACACTTAAACGCAATTTTTTATTACATACACATTTGAAAAATCCTAACGCTTGGGGGTACGAACCTACGCCTAACCGAATATTTACGCACCGAAATCTCGCACGCTAACCACTATGCTACGCTCGCATGGAACTCTCAAACCTTAAATGCTTTCAAGTCTCACTAGCTGAAATAAAAATTGTAAAATTACTACGCGGCAATAGGCAATTTGGAAATACGAACTGATGTAATACCGGTATATTTTCAATACTTTACTGAATGTGTATTTATGAATATTTCAATATTTCGTTTAAAAAAGATGTTATATTTTTATTATTATGTTTTTTAATATTTTATTACATAATATATCGACTAATATGAACATAACTTCACTGCAAAACAATTTATAACATATAAGTAATAGTATTAAATTGAATAAAATTTTAATGCACAACACATTTTTTTAATTATTTAATTTGCAGAAAAGTGTCAATAAATAATTACTTAATATATTGTTTAAATTAAAAAGAGATTATTAATTAATTAATAATAAATTAATTAATAATAATCTCTTTTTTATATATTGTATTTAATATGTTATTTATTGTAGGCATTATACACGGAGAAAAATGGATAGTCAAATTTATTATCTAGATAATCATGGGTGATGATCTTGGATACTCAACTATAGGACAATTATCTAGATATTCAAATTTAGTATCTTGGGATAATCAAACTTACATACTAATTGCCATTATCCAAGATGTTCACATTTGACTATCTTAGATAATAAACGCAAGTTGCTGTGTTTATACCTACATACACATCTAAATTGATCAATAAGAAATATTTAATGATAAAAGTTAATTTTTTTAGAAATTAGTGAACATTTTGCCTAGATAAACAATTTTTTATGGAAAATCTGAAAATTTTAAAGAACAAAATACATTAATTTAACGATACCCTTGAAATGTTTAAATTCTTTTGACAGGTTTAAAGGTTATGTTGCTAATTGTAAGTTTTATATATTTTTTAACAATATTTTTTAAGCAATATTATATCTGAAATTCAGTATAAAAAAGCTTGACAATATTTAAATTTCGAATAATACGGTGTTCGATGGTCTCTCAAATTTCTCGATAATGTGCGACCAACAGTTATCACCCAACAAATACGGCACTGACCGGTTTAAATGACGTGTAATTGGTAAACATTCACTTTCTAACAAATTTTTCTCTGTTCACAGGCACTTTTTACAAAATATGACAACGTACATTTGCCACAAATGTTTTTAATTGTCTGAATTGAAAAGATTTTGTCAATCCATGTAGAAACGCGGTTGCAGGATTGGAATTACCATAGCAATGTAATGCGAATCATTTTGACAGCTGAGACTTTACGCTCCCTGCATGCTTCTGCCCTCTACTGTCAAAATGGCTGTAACATACGTATAGTGGCCTGTCATTACATTACTTTTTTATTTCCAATCCTGCAACCAATCCAAAACAAAAGGTCAAAACCGAAAAGTCCAAGACTTTGAAGATCCAAAACACAAAAAGTCCAAGGAATTAAATATCCAAAAATTTAAATTTAAATACTAAAGGAAACAATTTTTCAATTCAGACCTTCATTTTTTTTTATTTACACTTGAAGTTGTTAAGTTGTTCGAATAACCGTCTTTTCATAACAGTTTCCGTCAGTTTAGGTTTGTCAACGTAGTTCAAAATTTGTTGTGTTTCAAAATTATTGAGTAATTATATTTAAAATGGAAATTGAAATTTTAACAAAAGGCAAAACGAGATATTTACATGTAAGTGGATATTTATACACAAAGCACAGTTCTGGAGTTGGGACAAAAATATATTGGAGATGCAAAGAAAAAAAGCAATGCGGCGCTAGGGCAACTACAACTAGTATAGGAGATAATGTTGAAATTCTTTCTGGAGAAGTTCACGAAAAAGTCGTGAACTCGCGAGTGTCAGTAGTATGCGCAGTTCGTAATGCGCATCAAATATGGCTGATCAAGCATTCATCATTCAGCCCACGAAGTAGTATAAGGAGCTTCCACTCAATGGGTAGTTTGAAATATTTTGATGACGATTTTTCTTTTCTGTTCGGCTCGTGGTTAGTTAGCGAAACTAGCGCTCTTGCGGGGAAACACCTACAACTCAGGTGAGAGATCCGCCATTACAAATGGCGGATATGTGAATTAATAAATTCAAAAAAGACCGCGTTGATCTGCGCATGCGTCTTTCCGTTTAGCAGACGAAAAAGAGAAAAATTCTTGAGTTGCACATTTTCATGTGAGATGGATTCTTGTCGCTAACTAACCATGACGTCAAACAGAAAAGAAAAATCGGAAACACTATTTACGGAGAGTGGAAGCTCCTTATACTACTTCGTGATTCAGCCGGTGTCATCGGTGTTTACATTCGGGAAAATTCTTTGATGAAAGTTATTATTTAGAATCAGTGTTTTTTATTACTTTGTGAATATTTTTGTTTGCTAATTTCCTTTGTGAAACAAATAATTCATAAAATGAATTAAAAGTTACGATAAGGGATTTTTTCTACTTTGCACGGTCCTGAGTTTTACAGCAGACAAAGCTAATCGTTTCGTTTGTCGAAGGACAGTGTATCTAGATTTAGCCGTGGCGATTAGTTGTTAGAAATATTATGTCATAGGGTATACATAGGTACTAGGTTCGAATCCCGTGAAGCGAATTACGAATTTTAATGGCGATAAAATTGTGTATTCTGTGTAGTTGGGTGCGTAATAGGCGTCAAGTTATCAAATAAAGTGAAATACTATAAAAAAGTAGTGTCTGGAAATTATTTTTTCTTGTTTTTAGCATTTTTTAAAAGTTCACAAATTTTTCGTTAACTTTGACGAAAAGTTCGGAAACCGTACTATGTTTCTAGTGACGGAGTTGATGAAATTTTGACGAACTGTGTTTGTTGATTTTCAAGAATTTTGTGTCCCATCCAAAAGTGATATACTAGTTCACGAGAGATTCGTGAACTTTTTTTTCCGTGCGGTCATGCACCAGATCCTGAAGAAGTAGAAGCTCTCAAAGAGAAAATTGATCTAAAAAGACTTGCCGTCGAACATCCAGAATGTCCACCCTCGAGAATTGCCAGAAAACTGCAGAACATACCTGATGCTGTATTAGCAAAACTTCCTGATCGAACCAATGCAATTAAAATGATTCAAAGAGAACGTTTAAAGCATATGCCATCTAACCCTCGGAATGCAGAAGAGCTACAAGAGATACCCGATCAATATGTAAAAACTAAAATTGGAGATAAATTCCTAATGTACGACTCTTATGGAGATGAATCTTATAACTTGTCTTGTGAAAGAATTATAGTTTATGCAACCCGAGAAAACTTGAGATCGTTATTTCGAAGTTCCACGTGGTTTGTAGATGGCACGTTCAAGGTCGTCCCATCTATTTTCTTTCAACTTTTTGTTATAATGGGCACTGTTAAACAAATTCACAAGGGAATTGAACGTGACATAGCACTTCCATTTGTCTACGCTTTGCTGGAAGGAAAACAAGAAGAGGCGTACTCAAAAGTAATCGAAGTTGTAATATCTGAGGCAAATCGTCTAGGCATTCAAACTCTTCATCCACAAACAATAATGTCAGATTTCGAACTGGCAATAATAAATGCAGTGCAAACCCACATTGGAAACATCGTACATTTATGTTTATTTCATTTGTGTCAGAGCGTGTATAGAAGAATACAAGCAGAAGGATTGCAGGCTATGTATAACAACAAGGACGATATAAGTATTCGAGAAGCAACGCGAACAATGTGCGCTCTTGCGTTTGTACCTGCCACGGATGTGCCTAAGGTTTTTGATATATTTTTCGACCAAGTACCAGAGGAATTTGTCCCTGTTGCAGAATACTTCGAGGTTACAATTTCAATAATTATTTTAATATATTACAATGTATTTAATCATGTATTATAATTATAAATTGATTCTTCTTAGGTTACTTATATTCGTGGCAAGACTGCTAGAGGTAGAAGAAAAGCTGTGCCTGTAAGATACGAGCCAAAACTGTGGAACCAATATGATGCCGTTCTTCAAGGAATTGCGAGAACAAATAACGCGTCTGAGGGATGGCATAATAGATTCCAAGTTCTTCTTGGACGATATCATCCGAGTCTATACGCTTTTTTAAACAAATTGCAACAGGAACAAGGCGAAACAGAATGCATGCAAAGGCAACTTCAGTTGGGTCAAAAAATAAGGGCTTTGCCGACAAATTATTTTTCAACAATAGAAAACCGGATTTTTAATATCGTATCACAGTACGATCAATACGTGCAACAAAATGAAGAAATTAAATATTTAAATACATTGGGTTACCACTTACATTTTTAGGTTATACATTTATATTTTTATATATTTAACAATTCAATAAATTTATCCTTCTTTTGAATTTATTTTTTTTGGATCTTTTGTACGTTTGGAACTTTTAGTAACTTGGACCTTCTGTCTATTGGATTTTCTGTCTATTGGATTTTCTGTCTATTGGATCTTACAAATTTTGGATCTTTCAGTTTGGACCTTTTGTCTTGGATCTTTTGGTTTGGATCTTTTGTACCCCAATCAACCGCGTTTCTGCATGGATTAACAAAATCTTTTTAATTCAGACAATTAAAAACATTTGTGACAAATGTATGTTGTCAAATTCTGTAAAAAGTGCCTGTGAACAGAGAAAAATTTGTTAGAAAATGAATGTTTACCAATTTCACGTCATTTGAAACAGGCAGTGCCGTTTTTCTTGCGCGTGATCGGTAATCAAACTTCTGCGCAAGCGCTCGGCAAGTTGACTATCCAGGATAATAAATTTGATTATCTAGATATACTAAACGGGAATATATAATATTTCAGGAAGATAATATTTCTGACTATACAGATAATAAATTTGATTATATATTTTCTAACTATCTACTTTTAACTATCCATTTTTCTCCGTGTATAATATATTGATCACATTTTCTTTCAAGTTAAATATATTTTACTTCTTTCAAATTAATATATTATTTATTAAAAATTATTTATTTAATTGCACATTAATAAAGTTGGATTTTTATATATATAATGAAAAAATTAAGTTTCTTATATTCTTCCTTTGCATGAATACTATTAATTTATCTATTGGTTAACTAATAATAATATTATAATAAATGCAATTATATGAGTCATTCCATTATATTTCGACTAAAGTCGTTGCCGACTAATTTTAAAAAATTGTAATATTTTGCAGGAATGATTTTAAAGATATTAGGATCACCGAACAAAAAGAATTTTTTAAATATTTTTTATATTTATTGTAAAATAAGCATCTAAAGTATATGAAGTCGTAAAAACTGACACTTTTTCATCTATTAGAAAATATTAAAGAAAACACATAATTTACTATAAAAACGTAAAAAAATTGTTAGAATTTATTAAGAATGAATTATTTTATTATTATAAATTGGTAGAAACAATTATTAATAAGAAATATTAAATGAAAAGTAATTTTAAAGTTTACATGGAAAATAACCTATTTTTGCAAATTTCATTCACTAAATATGAGAAAGAGAAATCATTAAATTGGATAAAACCTTATGAAATATAAAGTACCTGTGATTAACTTTTAGTTTTTCTTATCACTTTCTTCCTGTTTTCTTCACAAATATTAAAAAATAAGCAATTAAAATTGGCACTTTGCTTATTTTCACGATTTTCAAATGTAAATAACTTTTGCCTAGAAAAATGAAAAATTACGAAAATTGGGCAATAATTAATTCATCACTAGATACACTTACTGGAAAAAGATTTTCTTTGGTCCCGAAGCTATTTCTCGAATTAATTAACTTTAAACTTTTTACTATTTTTATCAGGTTAATACATAATGTGATTTCTTTAAAACTGAAGTTGGTTCAAAACGATTAAACAAGAAGAGCTAACTTCGTCCTTTAAAAAACACATGTATTAACCTGATAAAAATAGTCAAAAGTTTAAAGTTAATTAATTCGAGAAATAGCTTCGGGACCAAAGAAAATCTTTTCCAGTGAGTGTATCTAGTGATGAATTAATTACTGCCAAATTTTCGTAATTTTTAATTTTTCTAGGCAGAAGTTATTTACATTTGAAAATCGTGAAAATAAGCAAAGTGCCAATTTTAATTGCTTATTTTTTAATATTTGTGAAGAAAACAGGAAGAAAGTGATAAGAAAAACTAAAAGTTAATCACAGGTACTTTATATTTCATAAGGTTTTATCCAATTTAATGATTTCTCTTTCTTATATTTAGTGAATGAAATTTGCAAAAATAGGTTATTTTCCATGAAAACTTTAAAATTACTTTTCATTTAATATTTCTTATTAATAATTGTTTCTATCAATTTATAATAATAAAATAATTCATTCTTAATAAATTCTAATAATTTTTTTACGTTTTTATAGTAAATTATGTGTTTTCTTTAATATTTTCTAATAGATGAAAAAGTGTCAGTTTTTACGACTTGATATACTTTAGATGCTTATTTTACAATAAATATAAAAAATATTTAAAAAATTCTTTTTGTTCGGTGATCTTAATATCTTTAAAATCATTCCTGCAAAATATTACAATTTTATAAAATTAGTCGGCAACGACTTTAGTCGAAATATAATGGAATGACTCATATAGTTATTGTAATAATTAATTATAATAATATAATAAATTTATGATTATACTGATAATGTAAACTATAACAATAAATGACGAGATCCGCAGTCGGATCCACCCCAGCACCGAGCCAGTACAGACCTAACATCCGTCATTCTTCCGACGCGCGTAGAAGAATGAAATCTGCAGGCGGAACAAATCCAGTACCGCGCCAGTACTGACGAAAGTAGAAAGGCGGATCCAAAAGTCGGAGCCTAATCTGTTCCGCGCCGGTTGCATTTTAGGATCCGAATCGGTACAGACCATCGGTGCTGGCGGTCCGTAAGGGCGCGGATCCCAGGCGGTTGTATAATCCGACATTCGTCCGACTTTTCCTCCTGGGAAATAGCATAATATATCGCTCCAAAATGAAATATTAATAATAATATTCTTGGACAAAATTAACGGCAAACTTGGGCAATGTTTAATATTTAATTATTTTGCCTAATTAATAAACTTAATTTATAATTATTCAGTGATATTTAGTTAGTAAGGAAATTAAAATTCTTACATCGTTCTTCATACTCTCCTTAAAATATTTTTTAACAAAATAGTAAGCCATTGCGTGTTGCATTTGTATATTAACAATGCACGTCTCCCATCTAAAAATTAATAAAAATTATTTAATCATTTCGATTTAGAAACGTCAAAGTAAATAAATATATTTATTTATTGTCCGAATGTTTTCGTTTTATTTGCCTTATATTATTTAATTATTTAATTCACTACATTAAAAATTATAAAACTGTTATTCTTTAATTTCTTATCATCATTGCCTTGGTTTTTGAATTTTCACACCAGTCAAATGTTTTTTGAACTCGTAGAAGAATTCTCGAATTTTCGATGTTGTGTGTGGTAACATTTTACTTAAGAAATTCCAATGAATATAATTAACTGTGAAAAAAGATTTTTAATTAACAAATGATTAGTAATTATATCTATAATTAAAATGAAATTATTTTGAAATCGAATGCAAAAGAAAGTTTATAATTTAAATACGAAGAATATTGTACCAATCGTTCTTGGCTTTGTTTCTTTTAGAATTTCACAAAGATTATCCAAATACATCTTTACTTTTGGAATTACAGAAAATTCATTTTCTCCGCTAAGTTCAATATTCGCTTCAAAAAGTAAATTCTTAAATGATTTGGTCAAATTCAGCTGGAAAAATTTAATGAAAAATAGAAATTAAGGAAGCAACCCAGTGAGAAATTGCCAATAGACTTTAATCGGTCCAATATCGGTCCAATATTGGTTGCCGTGCTGGGCGCCGATTGACTCCCAATATTGGACCAATATGGGCTGATGCTTGGGATGTAACGGATTCGCCGAGCATCGGTTGTTAATATTGGTCCAATATTGGCCGAATATTTTCAACCAAGAGAAAAAAATTTTTTTAATTAAATAATAATAATAAAAAATTAATGTTTATAATTTTTTTTTAATGTATTTATTTGTTTAATTATTTATTTTTAATAATTCATGTAAATAATAAATAATTTATTATTTATAAATAATAATTATTTAAAAATGCAGCAGCTATTAGGAAATAGCATTCTGCAAGAAAATTCAATCATTGAAAAATCAATGATAGGCGAGAGATATTTGCGTCATTAAATAGATTCGCAGATGATAGGCAAGAGATATCCGCGTCATTAAACAGATTCGCAGATATACTCTGGTCTCGCGACGAATCTCTCGATATTTATATACACTGGAGTCGCCGTGTCAGTTGCGAGAACGGTTACAGCGTCCCTCTTGCGGCAGAGATAAGAATTGTCACGTAAACTGCTAAATCGCTTTACCGACGGCCTTATTATACCCGCAGTTTACGTGACAATTCTTATCTCTGCCGAAAGAGGGACGCTGTAACCGTTCTCGCAACTGACACGGCGACTCCAGTGTATATAAATATCGAGAGATTGGACCAATATTAGCAACCGATGCTTGGCGAACCCGTTACATCCCAAGTATCAGCCCATATTGGTCCAATATTGGGAGCCTTTATTGGACCGATGATTGGTCTCTTGGCTCCCAAAATTGGAATGATATTGGACCGGTAAAAAATTTCTCACTGGGAATTTTTTGTAAAAAAAAAAAACAAAATTAAGAAAGTAACTTTTTGCAAAAAAAATTATATACTTAAGTAAATAAAAAAAAAGTTTTTTGGTAAAAAATAAAACTATAATTTTGAAGACAAAAAATTATACCTGTGGCTTGCTTAGAAATTCAGATTCCCCCTCCTCTGTGTTGCACATTTTTGAAAAATATTCTAATGGAGTAAACAATGGAGTCAAATGATTAATTTTACTTTCCTGTTAACAAAAATTTTTTAATTATTTTCAAAAAATACTTTTTCTTTCATCAATAATTATAAAATAAATATTTAACTCACGGCTCCTAATTTTTTTTCGAAATTGATTAAATCCTCAATATCCTCATCTAATGTTTCCTCACTTACATGGGCATTTCTCTCTTCAATAAAAACAAGAGCAATTTCCTTGATGAATTTTCCATAACTTCCATCATCATATATTTTCTTTCGATCGAATTTCATTCCATCTTCCAATGCAATAACTGGCGGTAATTCTGGTAATTTCAGCTTTTAATTTCGAAAAAAATTGTAAATTGCAAAGAAAATTAAATAATTGAGTTATAAAAATTCTATTTTAATTTTTTGTATTTCTGTTAAAAATTAAAATGGACCTTTTTGAAATAAAGATTTAGAAATTACTTCGATTATTGATGAATTGATAATTTTGAAATCTTGAAACGATTCAATTTTCCGTTTATCTTTCGTTATGTCAAAAGAATAAAATGATGATCCTGTAAGACGCGAATAAATATCATCGACTTGTTGCCAACTAATATTTTCCTCGAACCATTCTCCTGATTCCATGATTACCCAGTGAGAAATTGCCAATAGACTTTAATCGGTCCAATATCGGTCCAATATTGGTTGCCGTGCTGGGCGCCGATTGACTCCCAATATTGGACCAATATGGGCTGATGCTTGGGATGTAACGGCATCGCCAATCATCGGTTGTCAATATTGGTCCAATATTGGCCGAATATTGGCAACCAAGAGAAAAAAATTTTTTTAAATAAATTTTTTTTAATTAAATAATAATAATAAAAAATTAATGTTTATAATTTTTGTTTAATATATTTATTTGTTTAATTATTTATTTTTAATAATTCATGTAAATAATAAATAATTTATTATTTAAAAATTATAATTATTTAAAAATGCAGCAGCTATTAGAAAATAGCATTCTGCAAAAAAATTCTATCATTGAAAAATCAATGATAGGCGAGAGAAATCCGCGTCTTTAAATAGATTCGCAGATGATAGACAAGAGATATCCGCGTCATTAAACGGATTCGCAGATATACTCTGGTCTCGCGACGAATCTCTCGATACTTATATACACTGGAGTCGCCGTGTCAGTTGCGAGAACGGTTACAGCGTCCCTCTTGCGGCAGAGATAAGAATTGTCACGTAAACTGCTAAATCGCTTTACCGACCGCCTTATTATACCCGCAGTTTACGTGACAATTCTTATCTCCGCCGAAAGAGGGACGCTGTAACCGTTCTCGCAACTGACACGGCGACTCCAGTGTATATAAGTATCGAGAGATTCGTCGCGAGACCAGAGTATATCTGCGAATCCGTTTAATGACGCGGATATCTCTTGTCTATCATCTGCGAATCTATTTAAAGACGCGGATTTCTCTCGCCTATCATTGATTTTTCAATGATAGAATTTTTTTGCAGAATGCTATTTTCTAATAGCTGCTGCATTTTTAAATAATTATAATTTTTAAATAATAAATTATTTATTATTTACATGAATTATTAAAAATAAATAATTAAACAAATAAATATATTAAACAAAAATTATAAACATTAATTTTTTATTATTATTATTTAATTAAAAAAAATTTATTTAAAAAAATTTTTTTCTCTTGGTTGCCAATATTCGGCCAATATTGGACCAATATTGACAACCGATGATTGGCGATGCCGTTACATCCCAAGCATCAGCCCATATTGGTCCAATATTGGGAGCCTTTATTGGACCGATGATCGGTCTCTTGGCTCCCAATATTGGACCGATATTGGACCGGTGAGAAATTTCTCACTGGGTAAAGGCCATCCTCCATTTCTCGAAATTATTGCTTCGAGTGGCTTGAGTCCTGTTTTCTCCAGTTCGTCTAAATACATCACATAAAAAGTAGTATCAAAAAATTAAATTAAAAAAAAATAAGAAAGATTGAAATATGTAGAAAGTCGTTATAAAAAGTTACCGTCATTCATGCAGGATTTGTAAAATTTTTTCACTTGTTTTATGGGTAACAAATCATTCGCATTCAATTCCTCTTCCAAAAAATCTGAAATTAAAATAGAAAAAAATATTTAAAGGAAAAGTATTAATTAATATTAATATTAATATTAATATTAATATTAATATTAATATTAATATTAATATTAATTGTGTACCTCGAATTTTGTATTCTACTTCTTTTGTCATTTTTCGAATAGTATTCCATTTCATTTCCGCTGGTGGAATTGCATTATTTTTCACCCAGTTCCCACAAGCGTATTCATAAAAATCATCACATGGATCCACTGATTTGTTCATACTTTCCCAGAATTCTGAAGCTGTCGTCATTGTAATAGTTTTCAGCAGGAAATTAAAAAAATAATTTATTAATAAATAAAAAAAATTAAATCATATCAGGCAAAAAATTTTTTTGCAAGTAGATTTTAAAATTTTTTTTTCTCGGACTTAAATTATTTTACTAATAAAATACTATTATACTTTTTAAATACTGTAAATTAAAAATCAATAACAAAATTTTTAACAAATAAGTAAACAAAAAATAAATGAATAAAAAATTTATAAATAAAATAAGTAAAAAATATAAATAAATATTACATAATGAAAAATAAAATAGACTCACCAACTTTAAAACAATCTTGTGATCTACAAACGGAGTAATCTTTTTTCGTCTCGGCTTTTCTCTCTTCATAATTAAAATGAAAATAAGTTTTCAAACTATTCTGACGAAATGGAATATGAAAAATGTCCCAATTTGATGATCTTCCTGAGACGAAAATTATCGTGCAACTTCTATAATTTAATTAAAATTAATTTATTTGATTAAAAATATAGTTTTTATTTAGAGAAAGCAGAGCTTTTATTTATTCATTTTATTTTAAAAAAGTTTATTTCAAAAGAAACTTACAGTAAAATAAAAAGTTTCATTTCTATTGGTTAGATGAAAATTAATGACAAAATAGAAAATTTATTTTAATTATATTTGCTTTTTATATATGCAATTTCATCGACGGAAAAAGTGACGTTATAATTTCCTGTTGTATAGATTTGTCTTCTACAAGGTTTATATTATTCTTCCGCAAATGATATTTTCTGATAGTATTTTCTATTTTTAATAAAAGATTTTATAATAAATTTGATTATTTTTATTTCTTTTATAATATTAATTTTATAGTTTTTGTATTTTTAATTTATTTAAACTTTTGAAATTTATAACAAATATATGTATAACATTACAAACTTTATCATAAACAATAATTTAAAATAAAAATAATTAATACTTATAAAGAATATTTTTAATAATTAATTAATTAATTATATATAAAATAATTAATTAATTAATATAAATATTTCTATTAATAATTTAAATAGGTAATAATAATATTAGCCTTTAAAGTGCTATGCCGGTCTGACAGACCGCTATTAAAATTTTCTTTGCTTGTAACTTTTTTTCAAAGTATAGGGGAGAGTCTCCAGTTGTGAGACACCTCCAGTTGTGAGACAGTCAATTTTTTTTAACATGCAATATTAAAAAGCCGATTGGTTTATATAAAAACATTTCTTTTTATATGAGCCAACTATTTCGTGTACACCGAGGCGGATATATAAACTGTTTTTGTTAAATACCAACACTGTGTGTGATAATCGACTAAAAAGCGTTTTTTCAATAAATGCAAAGTACTTTTTTTGCAATTTAATTAATTGAAAAAGGTAAATGTAATGCATTTTCTTTTAGTGTTTTCCTTATATTTTGTGATGCAACATTGCATTGTTCCAATCTACGGTTGAAAATAATTTAATTCTCCTTTTTCAAAATAGCGCCAATTTCTGGGTGTGAGACACAGCATATCACCAGTTGTGAGACGGTGTCAACACCCATCTGGGCAGCATAAAAAATACTACTTTGCAGGCATACTATTTAAATGTTGTTTTGATTCTTTTTTCTAGTATTTTTGGGCATGTCAAGTGGAAAAAAGTCAATTGATTCAGAAGAAATCAATTTTAATGCTCTTGTTGAAGCTATTAAATTGTGTTTATTTGATAGTCATATTTTGGCGAATAAATATTATTATTTAGTATATAATAATATATATTATTAATATATTTAATTATTTCTACTAAACATAACGTTTTATGTCAAACTTATTAAATTTTAGCAATTTTTAATGAGTGTCTCACAACTGGAGACATTTTTTTTTTTTGAAAAAATCGATGTGCTCGGAAAATGTATCGTAAAATTTTTTGAGTTCATCGAAACACTATACTTTCTTTTAATAAAAGTTGCGTATTTCTGTTACCTTTCGAACGGTGTATTTTATTTACAATTTCGTTTGCCCGTTTACAATTTACGGGTCAAAAATGAAACCCGTCTCACAACTGGAGACTCTCCCCTAATAAGAACTTGAACCTTTTAGTAGCTTTATATTTTATGAAAATCTGTTAGGAGACAACTTTTTCAAAAATTTTTATTCGTTAAATTTTGTAATATAAATAAATATTTGAAGTAAAGCGGTCTGTGAGACCGGGGTTAGCTTTAAGTGAAAGTATATTCCAGTATATTCCCATGAGTGACGTCTGCGCAACTTGACGCGCAGCTAGTTCTACTGACAGTTGTCATAGACTGCATTTATAAAATAAATAAAATAAATAAATGCATAATACAGAAATGACTTTTTTTGTTAAAAAGTAAAAAATATTTATAATAGTTGTCTTTTAAAAATTATAAATGACTAAAAAACTGTCAAAAGGGAATAGCGGTCTGACAGACCGGGGTTAGCACTGAGCGTGATTTTTCAACACTTAGCACTTTAAAGGTTATTGCATTTCTAAAATACGAAGCAGTAATTTGAAAAGAATAAACAATTTCTATTCGTTTGAATTGACTACGTAGAATCGTTTAAAGTCGATTGAAAAGAATAGCTATTTCTTATTTTTTTCAGTTCGCTTTTACAAGATTTACTTTGTCGATTCAAAAGGATAGGATTCTGTATTTTTTTGGAACGTTGAGAAGCAGAAAAATTTTGCGCATTCAAAAAAATGGAAACTCTTAATTCTTTTTTATCATCTCATTGACACGAACAATAGAGAAGAATTAATTTTTCTGATATTTTGCTGTTCACAGAGGAATTGGGTTTTTTTGTAAATTCGCCTATTCAGAAAGATTAAAAAATCCTCGTTTAACAGAATATTTTTGGAAATTTAATCTTTTTCTATTCCTCGCTTCTTACCGGGGTAATATATTGATTAGATAACGGGTTTTTAAGGAAATTGAAATTTTAATTTTTGACAAAGTTTTTTGTCAAAAGTTACCATTTTTACCTTCCTTCAATCATGAGATATATTCCTCCACTAACAGAAAATATTAGGGAGTCATTTCATTATATTTCGACTAAAGTCGTTGCCGACTATTTTTAAAAAATTATAATATTTTGCAGGAATGATTTTAAAGGTATTAGGATTACTGAACAAAAATAATTTTTTAAATATTTTCAGTACTTATTGTAAAATAAGCATCTAAAGTATATAAGGTCGTAAAAACTGTCACTTTTTCATTTCAAAATATTAAATAAAACACATAATTTACTATGAAAATGTAAAAAAAATATTGGAATTAATTAAGATTAATTAATTTATTATTATAAATTGTTAGAAACTATTAAATGAAAAATGATGTTAAAGTTAAATTGCCAAATAACCTAATTTCTAAAATTTCATTCCCTAATGCGAGAAACAGAAATTATTAAATTGAATAAAACTTTATCAAATATAATAAGTATGTACCTGTGATTAACGTTTAGTTTTTCTTATCACTTTCTTCCTTTTTTCTTCCTAAATGTAAAAGAATAAGCAATTAAAATTGGCACTTTGCTTATTTTCACGATTTTTATATGTAAATAACTTTCTTGCAGAAAAATTACGAAAATTGGGCAATAATTATTTTATCACTAAATACACACACTGGACAAAGATTTTCTTTGGTCTCGAAGCTATTTTCCAAATTAATTAATTTTAAACTTTTTACTATTTTTATCAGGTTATTACATGTGATATTTTTAAAACAGGAGTTGTTTTAAGACGATTAAACAAAAAAACCTAACTTCGTCCTTTAAAAATTACATGTATTAACGTGATAAAAATAGTGAAAAGTTTAAAATTAATTAATTTGGAAAAAAGCTTCGGGACCAAAGAAAATCTTTGTCCAGTGTATAAATAAATCAAATAAATATTTACTTACACCAAAGTGTAAGTAAATACTTATTTGATAACACTGTTCGACAAAATTTTGCTACAAGAATAAACGAAAGTGATTCTTACAGGATTTTTGACGTAGATTACGAATCTATAAGTGAAATTGTCCCATCATATACACGATATACACTCTAAAAAATTCCGTTGTTAATTTACAGCGTCGGACGTTGGAAATTATTTGCTTCACGTCCAACGTAGTAAGCTTACAAGCTGCTAGTAGTAAAACAGGACCTAAATGTAATGAAACAATCCGCGTGTTATTGCACAACCTCAAAGTAAAATTACAATTTTTGCGTTATGAAACATGCCGTGTGTAAATATATCAAAAAATTGGGTTATATTACTATAAATAAGGTTATGTAAGCGGTTCGCGTATTTTTCTCAAAATTTGTAGGAATTAATTTCTATCACTGAAAAAACACAGGAAAATTTCAAACTGAATTAAATTAAACATATTTTTTGTTTTATAAAAGTTGTTTTAAACATATTATTTATTACACAAAATAAATTGTTTTTCATGCAGCTCCAGCGTGTGTCGCGTTTCAAATATTGAACACTGAAACAAATATATCTTTTTTATTACAAATTTATTTATATTTCTTTTTCGTTTAAATTATTATTTAATATATCTAATATTACTTTTTAATTTTCAAAACTTTCATGTTACAGTTATTAATATAGAAGGAGTTTACACTGTAAGCCTTAAATATAAGCCTCCGCGCGCATAAACGGATATACCTCCAGGAGCATATATTTGCGCCTGCGCGAACACGTGGTCAAGGCAAACTCTTTCACAACACAGCTGCAGGCAAACACTTTGCGCAGACGCAAGTATATCCTCATGGAGGCATATCCGTTTATGCTTGCGGAGGCTTATATTTAAGGCTTACGGTGTAAACTCCTTCATACAGTGAAATGATATATGTTGATTTCTAATGTTATCGAATTCATTATGCATTATTTTCTATTATTCTAAAGTTATTTCTAATTTGTAAATAACATAGGAAACATTGCTTAATGTTAATATATATTTCACTGCATAGGTTAACATTATTGTCAAAATGAATTAAAATTGGCTTACCTTGCTGTTTGAACAAAAATAATGACCACAATTTATTGTGAACTTGTGAACAGTTGCAATATATGCTGTTTATGTGAAATGTGAATTTACAATAATCGACATGTTTCTTTGCACGCACGACAGGTTAAATAATCACCCGATTGTAAAATAACACAAACAATGTATTATTGCAACCTTACAATACATTTACATCAAAATGTAAATTTACTACGTCGGACGTGAAGCAAATTATTTCCAATGTCCCACTTAGTAAAATTACAAGATCTCAGTTAAATAACATTATAGCACTGACAATGAGAGAAAAAAAGGCACACTGCTGTTCATTTGGAGGTTGTGTATCGCAATTCAAATTTGGATCAACTGCGCACTCTAAAGGGGAGTGTAACGCGCCGCTTTAGAGCGCGCTGCTGACTCTTGACTCGTGGGACGCAGTGATACCGCATGGTCAAATAACCTAGGTTATGGAGACCATGCGAGCTCACTGCGTCCCATGTGAAGGAGAGTCCAGAATAGAGTCAAAGTCGGTATGAACGCGCTGATATTAACGCGCTCGTCCATATGGAATACATAGGACGAGCGCGTTGTATCAGCGCGTTCATACCGA